GCCATTTCTCATATTGAACAGGACTCAGGGCAGCAGAAACAAGTTGGCATATAGCCAACTTCAGGTACCTAACTGAAAACAAGATAAATATTCCCAAGAAACAGAATAGTAGGAAGTCTGCCTGAGAAAGTCTTTTCTTATTTTATATGTACTAAGTTCCATGTATATGAAATTTTTTTAATAGTCCCTAAACCATTTTTCATTTCCTTAAACATGCAAAAAATGTTCTGTGTTGCAAGGAGCTCTTAGGAACTACCATTTACCTGTTGATACGTCATTTCATGACTTCAGGAGTCAGGATAGGCAAAAAGGAACTTGAAAGTGCTCTTTGCTAAAATGTAGAAGTAAAGCTAACAGAAAGCTAATATGTTGATTAATGTCTTCCCCACAAAGTTTGATTACTAGGTTTCTCCTACTTGAGATCTTTTATGCCCTCTATTCCACATGATGATAAGAGCTACCAGTTTTCAGACACTTTGCTAGATGTTTTATGTGAATTATCTCATTTAATACTCCCAGTAGTCTCTTCTCCAAGTTCAACAGCCTGGAAACTGGCTCCAGAAAGGCAAAGTAACTTTCTCAGGTCTGAGCACTTCCAAATTGTTTGACAGATATTTTCCTATTGTATAATTAAGTTCTATTTAATGCCCGGTGTGAGTCCATCTGTTAAAGAAAACTAGTTTACTTGAATTGGCAAAAATGTAAATAAAGTACAGTATTTCTAATATTTCTACTTAGTTGTAAATTCAACTTGGTAAATAAAATACTATGGGTGGATTTTATCATAGTTTGCAAGTTAAGAATCCTAAGGGATTTTGTTTGTTTTTCAGTTCTATCCCTGAGTTATATATTTTTTATTAAAATTTGATGAAATAATGGATTAAGGATAAGAAGAAAAGTGAATGTTATATATTTAACCTAGAATTAGCTTATGTGAATTGTCTTAAAAATTCAGAAATCCCAGCACTTAGGAGGCTGAGGCAGGAGGATTGCCACAAGTTCAAGACCATCCTGGGCTACATAGTGAGTTCAAGGCTAGCCTGCACTATGTAGTGAGACCCTGTTTCCAAAAAAAAAAAAAGTGGTAAAAACAAAATTTAGAAACCCAGTGAATCAATAAATATTCTACAAATATTTTGCTAAAGTTCCATCTAGCACTCATCATTATCATTACTTTGGAGGGTGGGTACTGGGGATTGAATGTAGGGTGTTCTCACAAAGCGATATTGCCAGCCCTTTTTTTTATTTTGAGACAGGGTCTCTATAAGTTACTAACTTGCCCAGGCTGGACTTGAATTTGTGATCTTCCTGCCTCAGCCTTCCTGAGTGCTGAGATTACACACAGATCTCACCACCCCTCATGCATTACTTTCTGTTCCACAAATTCCATTAATTATAATTGCTTTGCAATCAAGAACCTCAACTCCATAAAAATATAGTCAAGCTGCTTTGTGGACCTTGAATGTAATTCTTAGAATGAGATGCTGATGGTGGAGGTAAATTAGAGAAAACAGTTCTTAGACAGCAAATAAAACTGGCTGTCTAAGAAATTTAGAGAAACTTGAATGAACAAAAGATGGAACCACACAGCTCATGATTGCCATGAAATGAAACCATTCTCTTCGGATTACAAATTGAGAGAGCAGACAATATTGCTGTGTCCTGGACTTTGATTTTTCTTACTTACTTCAGTACCCATTTTTAGCTGGAAGAAGCTGAGCTTGGATCTTACTAAATTAAACCTATAAAAGTAAACAGATGAAAACCAACAATGTAAGTTTACCTCCTGTAAACAGAATTTCTATCCTAGAGACACTGGGTTAGGTGTGTTTGATTATTTTAGAAGGTGGGTTATATAAAAATACACATGACGTATTAGTGAAATATCAGGTAGAGAAATATGATCACTTTTGTTTATTATGCTTTAATAATTAATTTCCAAGTTTCTCCTCTTTTTGGAATCATGACATATTACCATGAAAATTTTCCTAGAATAAGGATTTCTTCCTCCTTCAATACTGGGGATTGAACTCAGGGACTATACATGCTAACCAAAGGCTATACCACTGAACTACGACCCCAGCCCCCCAAAAGTGAGCATTTTTGTGAGTATTCAGTCTTTCCAGGATTGGTTTGAATATTCTTATATGTTTCTTTTCACCAGATTTATTTCTTCATGTTCAGATACCATGGGGTAAGCCTTGCATATGATTCAATTACAGAAGTCTACTGTCCGCTGACAACAAAAGCAAATAAATTTGATTCTTGTTATATTTCATAGTATATTTGAATGTGAAATGTATCCCACGCAGATGACACTTCAAAACAGGTGCATAGGGACTAGGGATATAATTCAGTAGTAGAGTGCTCGCCTCGCATGTTTGAGGCCCTGAATTCAACCCCCAGTACTACCAAAAAATAAAACAGGTCCATACTTTGAAAGGTTTTCTAGAGATTTGAACATGTGAATTCCTGGGTCACTGATATGTCTGAAGAAAATTGACAATATATTGTCATTGATCAGGTTTTTCTAGTTGATATTGAGGGGCCTGAACAAAAAGTCTCTGTGTGTCTTCAAAAATTATTCATGGGAATGGGTATGGTGGTCCACACCTGTAACCCCAGCACTGTAATTCCAGCACATGGGAGCCTGAGGCAGGAAGATCAATGAGAGTTGGAAGCCATCCTGGGCTACGTAGTGAGACTCTCTCTAAAAAAACAAAACATTGTTAATGGGAAGAATGTTGCAAATGTTCACCAAAGAAATCAAGGGTACAACTAATAAGTAGTTTGCAGTGCTATGTTCTTGCTTTCTTAGACTGTCCTTTACTTGTCATATACCCCAAAATAAAAAATGTTACTGTTCAGTTTCCCCTTCTAGGTTTTAACCTTGAAACTCTTTGTGGAAATACTATCTAAAGGTCATTTGTGTGTCTCCCTCAGTCTCTTATAATAAAAGGCATTCAGCAAATAAATATTCACTGTGTCACAAGGCCAGAATTCATGTTGATAATGTGGAACAAAATTACCCTTTACAGTTCTCTAATATTATGATTATTTTCCAGACTTTCATTGGAAAAGAACAAAATTTGTTATTCTACTTCATTTTCTTTATGAGATGTTTTATCAGTTGTTCTGGCTAGTAAAAATCTTTTCATTCTTATTTCACTTTGTTTGCTTGTTTCAAAATCATAACCTTAGCATCACTCAGATACCAGTCTTCTCACCATCTCACCATGATTACTTTGAAAACTTGCCCACTTACTGATTGTCCCCATCATTGACACTTTGTTCGTACTATTTTTTGTGTGTATCCTATTATATAATATTTACTGTAAAACCTTGGTGGAGAAAGGCCCTGTTAAATATCTCTTTGTACCTCCAATCTAGTCCTTTTATGACAAGGGTATTAACAATACCAGATTATCAAGCTTTATAATTATAAAATAACATAGCATCTGACATGAAAGTTATTTAAATTCAAGGTGGAACTTGCCTTATCCTTCACAGGAAATATGCCTTTTTTTAAGCCTGCTGTCATAAAATCATGGAGTAGGAGTTAAAGAGAGCAAAATAAATGGCTGAGTATTCGTGTTTGAGCTGAATACATGGTTCCATGAATATATAAATTTGCTATATAAAGTATATCTCTTCTGCACATCTTAGTAATGTTGTCATATTTCTCTGTTTATTTCCTTCATAGCACTAATCACATCATGAAATTGTTATTTATTTCTTTGTTTCTCTCCCTGTCAGAACTTTGTCTTATTCATTGTTAAATTACTAGCACTTTGCTCAGAATTTAGCCCATCATAGGAGCTGGATAAACATTTATTGATTAAGTGAATATTGAGATGCACACTCAGGCTTATGAACAGGAATACCTACTTGAAATTTCTAAAGCTATTCTTTCTTCCACAAATGGAAGTTGAGAGACCCTAACACTTTCCTCTCCACAGCACCCTGGACTTCCCACTCCACTACCCAACTCCAGCTATAGGAATTACTTGGTACTGATTTATGTCCCAAGTTGACTTCTGCGGTATTGATGTGGTAGGAAAGATAGATACAAGGCTGAGTATGCAGTGTACAGATTTAATTTAATATAGGATATTAATTTTTTATTTTGTTTTTCAAGTTCTTAACTCTAATGCTCTGGTAAGATTCAAAGTGTTATCTGAAGTCTGAGCACATTGCTTGCCTAGGGCAGCAATAGACCTTTCTTCAAATTTAAATTAGCTGATGGTTGGTTGTCCTGGAAGTGAAATGTAATTAGAATACCCTTATTAAACGCAGGCCATCCCAATTAGGTGAATTATCTGGAATACTGGCTTTTTATCTGCTGACATTTGAGCTTAGAAAGGCTTGGGACAATTAAATTTAATGGCATCCATTTGTGTATTATTACAAATTATTTCCTGCAACCCCCCCAAAAAGCTGCTTTTCTTCTCCTTATCTCATATTTAAATTTGAACATTTATTAAACATGTCTCTTTTCTTTGTTTTATTTTGTTTTTGTTTTTGAGACAGAGTCTCACTATGTAGCTCAGAGTGGGCTTGAATTCACTATGTAGACCAGGCTGGCCTCAAACTCATAGCGATCCTCCTGCCTCAGCTTCCCAAGGGCTAGGATTACAGGCATGCATTACCACTCCCAGCTAAATATGTCTCATAAAAGAATAATTCTGTAAGAATTACTGAGTAAAGAAGGGTTAGGTGTAAAACTTAAGTATGGATCGTTTCTGCTACAGTCTCCAAAGGTGATCTCTAATAGCCCAAGGTACATCTCTCCATATATAGATTATGAAAAATAATTCTGAGTAAAGACTCTAGGAAAGCATTCATTCATTGGATAAAATTCTATGTAAACCAAGTTTTTGAAATTTATGCAAATTAAAAAACAATATTTTTCTATCCTTAAGCTATATATATATACACATATATATATACACATATATATATATATACACATAAATATTTTTTAATTTTGGTGGTATTAGGCTCTTCAGTGCTCTCAACTTTCCTGGAAAAAATGGATCATTCCCATCATAAGGGGAAAAACTATATGGACAACAGCAGCAGCACTATGCCACCGTCTCACCATCACCCAACAACTTCAGCCTCACACTCCCACGGTGGAGGAGATGGCAACATGATGATGATGGTGAGTGCCATGGGAGAGGGGGATGCAAGCCCTTTCCCACCCACTCGGGTTATGGAAATAATGGAATTTTAGTACTGGGAAGTTATTATCTTTGAAGGTCAGTTTACCTAAAAGGAAAAGCTAAGGCAGATCCTGAAATATGAATCAACTGATTTGCCTAAATTCATGTAGGAAATTAGAGACGCACCAGAACCAAGATTTTTAGGGTTCTTTTCTTCTCTAGTCCCTTCTTTTGAAATTCACCCTTTTCTGAATTAAGTTCTGGTCTTTATGCTTTGTGTAGGAAAAAGGAAAAGACACGAGTTGGCAGAAGCACAGGACAGTTCTCTTGCTCAGTATTTTGGTACTAATACTAAACTGAGGGTGGAAACCTCCCACTTCCTTGAATGTCTCTTCTTATCTAGACCTTTACTTTTAAATTTACTAGGCCTCTTTGCCTATAATTCTCATTTACTGTCTTCAGTCATCTCTAATTAACTTATTTTGGTTTTCTGGCAGCCTATGACCTTCTACTTTGGATTTGAGAATGTGAAGCTATTGTTTTCCGGTTTGGTGATTAATACAGCTGGAGGTGAGTAAGCCATCAGGTGATGGGTGTTTGAAGGTGACAATCACATGAGAGATGGTGATAAAGAATTTGGATACCCAGCACCTCTTTCTGACCTAATATCTGAATCAGTCTGGTCCTGTTATATAACCCTAATGCTTCCTGTTCCCTAACTAGAACGTGGAAAATGCAATATTTTGGTTCTCCAGTAAATCTCCCTTAATTAACATGTGTATGTTTTGAAACTCTTAAAAATAATACAGATCCTAGATAGAAGTCTTCTGCGATTTACATCCTTTCATTTTTTCCCAGGGTTTCCTTATTTGATAAATTAATGGTCCTGGACTGACCACAACAGACACGTTCAAATTCCACAAAATAAGCTTATGTTAAAAAGTATTGATCTAATATAATCCTCATCTTAGTTACTTTTCTTATTGCTAAGACAAAAATACCTGACACCCAAAGTTAAAGGAGGAAAGTTTTATTGTAGCTCACAATTCATACAGGTTTCATTCCATATTCAGCTGGTTCCATGGCAGAGGGGCATTGCAGAGGAGAAAAAGTTCATGGCAGGCAGAAGGCAGCAAAGCAGTGAAGAAACAGCAAAGTAGGAAGTGTCAGTGGCAGCATCTTTCTGTCCCTTATATTCTATCCAGGGTACATGCCCTTAGGGCAGGTAGCACTCATACTCAGAGTAGGCCTTCCTATTACCCACACTCAGAACTACACCAAACCAGTCAGTGGACTAATTTAATAATCACACACCCTTGATCCCAGCATCACACATTCTATATCCAGCCACCGCTGAAAAGCCCTACCTATGACCACATGAGGCTTTGGGGGCATATCTAGATGCAAGCCGTAACACTCCTGTTTTACAGATACATTAACCTCAAATTATGACATGATTTGCCCTAAATACTATAGACTTAATATGTTAGAACTAGGACAAGGACCCAGGCCTTCTAGAGCTGCCTAGACCAGAGCTGTTTCTAGTGTACCAAATAATGGTTCATTATCTTTTCCTGATTCTTAATCATTCCTAATTTTGGGGTAGCTGAACACCCATCTCTTTGTGTCTCTATGTTGCATTGGTATGCTTTAAATTCAGATTGCAAGAGCCCACAGTTTGTTGGACTGGCTTTCTTTTCTTTTTTAATTATTTTAATTGTATTAATAATATAAGTAGATATTAATGAAGAAAATATGCAAAGCACTCTTCTATGAAAAAATAAAAATTTCATAACAAAACAATTAAAGAATAATAAGTTATTTCATTATCATGATCTTAAAAGAATACCCAAAATGTTACTCAGAATGTAAGTCATACACAAAAAAGACTCTCTTACAAAGAAGAAACAAACAGAGTTGGGGATTTAGCTCAGTGGTTTCGCTGCCTGCTGTGCAAGTGCAAGGACCCAAGTTTGATCCCCGGTACCAAAAAAAAAAATAAACAAACAAATAGAAGGACAAAACTTTCTTTTCAACGAATAGAGAAACTAGTAGTATAAATGAAATAAATTAGCATATATCATAAAATATTTTTGAAACAATGGAATAGATAATTTGGGGAATTATTTGAACTTTTACTTCCTATTTATTTGTCTTCATATATATATATATATATAGAGAGAGAGAGAGAGAGAGAGAGAGAGAAATTCTCACATTAGAGAAACCATGCAATATTTAAGCTTATGTGTCTGGCTTATTTCACCTAAAATTATGTTCTCAAATTACATTCATTTGCCCATGACCACCTCAAGTTTATCTTTCTCTATGGCAGAGTAGCAGTCTATTGTGTATAAACATCACATTTTCTTTATTCATTTGTTGATGGACATATATCTGTTTCCAAGATCTGCTATTATAAATTTTGCTGCTATTAACATAGGTATAAGTGTATCCCTATAATGTGATGCCTTTAACTCTTTTGAGAAAATACCTAGAAGGGTAATACCTGGGTAAAATGGAATTTCTATTTTTAATTTTTTGAGGAATCTCCACATTGATTTCCATAGTGGTTGTACTACTTTACATTCCCACCAACAATGTAAAAGAGTTCCTTTTTCCCCACATCCTCGCTAGCAGTTGGTATTATTTGATTTTTTGATGAAAGCCATTCTTTCTGGGTTAAGATGTACTTATAATTTGCATTTCTGTGAAAGCTAGCAGTGTTGAATATTTTTTCATTTATTGGCCATTTGTACTTCTCCTGAGAAGTGTCTGTTCATTTCAGTTGTCCTTTTTGATTGAGTCTTTTGGGGAATCTAATTCTTTTGAGTTCTTTATGTATTCTAGATTTTAGTACTCTGACTGAGGAGTAGCTGGCAAAAATTTTTGCCATTCTGCAGGTTGTCTATTGGTTATTTCTTTTGCTGCATTGAAGCTTTTTAATTTGATATTATTCCATTTGTTCGTTCTTGGTATTATTTCTTGTGCCATTGGGATTCTATTCAGAAAGTCCTTGCCTATACCTATGTCTTCAAGAGTTTTACCTATTTTATTTTCCAGCAGATTATTTTTTTTTATTGGTACATTTTAGGTATACAATATAATATCATTCATTATTGAAAATTTGCACCCTTACATAATCTCTCTTGGTTCTTATTTTTCCCCCTTCCCCTGCCCTTCCTTCAACTCCTCCATCTCTCCCTATTTACAAAGACTTTGTTTCCATTTTCTCATATTAATTCCATTCTCTTCTTTCCTTTCCCCTACCCCTCCCACTTCCCCCTCCCCTTTGCCCCTTTTCTTCCTATTTCTAACTATCTGTTATACCTTTTAGTCCTTATTTACACTTTCAGTTTCTCACACTAGAGAAACTATTCAGTATTCACACGTGTGTCCTATTTATTTCACTTAAGTGTATCACTTCAATGTGCATCCATTTAGCTATAAATGTCTCTAATTTCTCATTTTTTATGACTCAGTAGTACTCCATTTTATAAAACAAAGCACATTTTCTTTTTTTTTTGAAATACAGAATTTTATTTAGAAACTGTTTAAAGTAGAAAAAAACCCTGTCAAGAAAGACCAGGTGGAAAATGGTTTCCCAATAAAATGGAATTTTAGGGCAACAAAAGTCTAAAAGGGCCACAAAAAAATAGCACCACTGTTATTTGAACAATGGCTAGTTACTTGCATTTTTTGGCATTGTTAATCACTGAATCTGGGTTTTCCTCTGAATTCCACACAGAGCCTGCACTACACAGTTATTTTATCATAAAATACTTGTTTTCTACACACATTTTAGGACAAGCTACCACCAGAAACAAATCAATACAAACACATCAGGGGCTCAACAATCTCAGTAGTGGGTAACATACGTTTTGCAGGATTCTGCCAAACAAAGGGACTGAATAGTCCATGGGCAAAAAGCAAATGAGGGAGAATTAAGGAATGAAATATTTTAAATATTAATAATTAATTCAGACATGGTACTGTATTTTCTGCAAAAGAAAATTAACATTTAGTAACACACTAGTGAATTTTATCTCCAAAGAGATTAGTGCACTGGCAAAGTATTCAGGTAACAGTGGAGAGCTGTGGACAGCAGATATCGAAAACACCCCAGCCTTGTAGATCCCAAGGTAACAATGGCCTTCACTGATCACTCCCTTTGCCAGAGGTCCAGCAAGAACTTGCAGCAAGATCACCTGCCAGCTGTACTTTCAACACTAAGCAGCAAACTTAGGAGCCAAAGAGGAGTCCCAGTGGGCAAGGGGAGCAGAGAAAAGGAACATGTTAACGGTAAACTTAAAGACAATACAACAGGACACACTCCCGTCCAAATCCCAGAGATGTGGCAAGTCCCCAGCAGTTGTTAAAATTATAAAACTGAACACACCTCATTTCCCAAAAAACATAATAAACAGAAATTTCAGGGGTAACTAAAAAAATCATCAGATAAATGCTCAATAAAAATCGGAGCTCTTCACCTCAAACACCTCAGGGCTGAATACCCTCTATTCATCTAAGCAACCATGCCGCTTGCATTTAGCAGGGATGCAGTTGGTCAATGACACCAAATGGCTTTACAAAGCAACTTCTTAAACTTTCCTTCTGGGCGAAAGCCTTGGCCTGTGAGGATTCACATAACCCTTCAAGGCCTGTAACAGTAGGTTCTGAAGGTTTCACGGTCTGGCCCTTCCTTCCCAGGCACAACAGACACATAAAATCTTCTGTCTTGTTACATTTTATATTTTAACATATGGAAGCATATTTTAAATACTCTTAAGGCATTCATTTATTAACATGTTCTTTGCCAAGATTTCACATTAGGTTAAAATTCAATTCAGTCTTTACATTTCTCTACTGAGGTTGGCACCTCAGTGCATTACAGAAAAACACCTTCTCCAGCAACCAGTGTGACCAGCATCCCCATGGTAAGCCCCACAGTCAGCCTCTTTGTTCTTCAGATGAACCACCTAGATGTTAACACTGCTCTGCTACAAGGTAAAAGCTCCTAACTCAAATTTATTGGAAAAGGAGTGAAACTTCTGCAAAGTTTAAAAAGAGGTACTTTTTGCTTATGAAAAGAAACCAGTGAATCTTCTAAGAATAATAAAAGGGAGTATTTTACAGTTAAGCACATGATTTGGAGTGAAGAATTCTGACATTTCCCCCTTCATCAGGTATCACAAAGCCTTCGTCTGTGGCATAGAGAATGTCTACAATCCTCTGCAATACAGGGTCATTTTCCCCCTCATTCTCCTGACAAATCAATTCAATGTTCCTTAGCTTTCCGAAGTAGAAATCTCTTTCTTTCTCCAAGTCTTCAACACTAAGTTTCAATACATTGACCTGCTGCATCAGTTCAGCTGCTTCATCATCCCGGTTGCCCACACTAGGATTCTTCCGCACCACCCCGGGGCCAGCCTTAGGAGTCACAGTAGTTCCCTGTGTTGAAATGGGTCTCTGTGGAGCTGCACTGCTAGAGCTGAGAGGTTTCTTCGGTTTATTCAGAGCCGGAGCAACAAGGGAAGGAGCCACTGCAGTTTCCTGACCTTGTCTGGCAGCTA